GGCATGCATGTGGTCCGGGTTCGATCCTCAGCACCCCCCCCGTGGCCGCCATGTTTCCTGAACACAAAATGGCGACACGTGGCCTGGATTCGTCGCTCAGGAGAAATTGGGGTCGCCCGAAAGCTCTAGAACGCGCCGCCTCCTGTTTACTGGGACTTCCTTTCGACGCGAGTCCTTAAGATCCCTCCTGTAGGCTGGTCCGAAACGTGGCGGAAGAAGTTTAATCCCCCCTCCTTTAATTTGAAAGGAGAATGTGAATAATAGTAAAATGTAGGCACGGTGTCGATCATCTCGGCCTGTTTTTTTTTTTTTTTTTTTTTTTTAGATTTTCATAATGTATGGGCAGTACCAAGGGGAAATTTGAAGTGCCCCCCCCCCGTACCAAAACACTTAGAAATCACTGCTTTAAGGAATGAGATGGGAAAATACTGCTTTCCCAGATCTCCTAGTACAGGGTGTTGTGCTGGGAAGACCAAAATATAATTTTTAAAATAATACAAATATGCAGGCATACTCTATAGGCATTTTAACAGGCAATTAGTTGGTCAGTGACCCATAGCTTATTATAATTTGTATTGTCTTTTATGATCTAGAAGGGACATTTTATTGCATACTATCTTAATTTTCACCACGCTCTACAAGGTAGTTATCCCCTTCTCTTTCTTTTTTTTTAAGCAGAGGAAGACACTTAAGCCCAGAGAAATGAAGTGAGCCATTCAAGGTCATACATTGTCCGGGATGGAATCGAGACCTTCTGATTTCCTTACTGGTGAGCACATTTTCCAGTTTTTCTATAAATCAAGGTTTTTGAATTAAATTCTTTTTTTTTTTTTTTTTGGTAGCAAAAAAGCTACCAAAGGTGCTTAACCATTGAGCCACTTTCCTAGCCCTCACCCTTTTTATTTTTTTTATTTTAAAACAGTGTCTTATTAGGTTGCTTACAGCTTCGCTAAGTTGCTGAGGCTGGTTTTGAACCTGTGATCCTCCTGCCTCAGCCTCCCGATCTGCTTAGAATTTAAATTGTTTTTAACGTGTAAATGTGCTGGCTTTGAAGGTTACCTTTATGTAATCCTTTGTTGTGTAGTCAGCCCATTTGTATCTCCTTGGGGATTTCCATTTTCTCTTGATGTGAGTGACACACACATTTGAGCCCTGTCTGGGCTTAAATGCTGTTCTGTGAGGTAACTGGATAAGGAGAGAGAGATGGAAGTGATTCAGACCTTATCCAAGGCCCAGGTGTCTTAGTCTGGCCTCCTCGGTGGCACATTTGAGTTACCTGGCTCTAGGGGAGTGAACAATTCTTTGAGAGACTCACCAGATTCCTTCAGCTACTTATGCTTCACTCCTTCTTCACTACCTCTTATCCCCAGCTCTGTAAAAATGAGTTATTTTACTCTGGCACCAAGCCTCCATTACTCTACAAATATTGACAAACCCTGACATAGTGTTAGATAAATCATAGTCTGTGGACACCTCAGTGTAACACATGGTTAGGGGGTCCAGGTAACAAAAACATGCCTAAACAAGGACTACATGGCTATTACAGATGGAGAGGGATTTTTGCTTTTAACTTACATTAAAGTGTGTATCAAATTTTCCAAAAGCTTTCACATTGTTTTATATAACTCTGCAAATAATTTTGATAGGTACATACTGTAATAATAATAGCATTAAGTACTTAGTTGTATGCTAGGCCCTGTTCTAAGCCTATTCTATGCTTTAACTCAGTGGCTCTTAACATTATTAAAAGTAAAATATTAGAAGAAATCGATTTTACATTGTAATTCAGATGTACACACATATATCACATATCAGTTCTTTTTTTTTTCCACATTGGGAATTTAACTGAGGATGCTTTACCATTGAGCAACATCACCTTTTATTTTATTTTATTTTTTAAATTTTGAGACAGGGTTTCACTAAATTACTAAGTTGCTGAGGTTGGCTTTGAACTTGGAATCCTGCCTCAGCCATCCTAGTTGCTGGGATGATAGGTGTGTGCCACTGTACCCATTTTATATAACAGATTTTTTTGCAAAATACTACTTATTACTACATGCAATGTATTCTGGTTCCAATTTCTGTTCATTTATTTATATTCAAACATAAAAGGGGTTGTTATAACTAAAATGATTCAAAACCCATTAGTAGGTTGTGACTGGAATACACATTTAATCCTCATATAAGCTCATGAAATGGGTGGTGATATTATTTCCATTTTACAGAGGTACTGAGAGGTGAAGGAGTTTGTCCAAGTTCAGATAAAGTAGTAAAGTATGGATATGAATGTAGGCAATCTGAGTCCACAGATGATATACTTAACCATAAGGTAGATGTGGTCTCTGTAGAGTTCCATTTAGGGAAACAGAGTAGATTAAAGAATTAAAAATACTGGGCTGGGGATGTGGCTCAGGCGGTAGCGTGCTCGCCTGGCATGCATGTGGTCCGGGTTCGATCCTCAGCACCACATACAAACAAAGATGTTGTGCCCGCCGAAAACTAAAAAATAAATATCAAAAAAAAAATTCTGTCTCATTCTCTCTCTCTCCTCTCTATCTAAAAAAAAAAAAAAACAAACAAACTAGTAATGGCTTGGCATGGTGTACACACCTATAATCCTAGCCACTTGGGAGACTGAGGCAGGAGGATTGCAAATTTAAGGACAGCCTCAGCAATTTAAGGCACTAAGCAATTTAGCAATATCCTGACTCAGAAAATAAAAGGGCTGGGGATGTGGCTCAAGTGGTTAAGCACCCCTGGATTCAATTCCTAATTAAAAAAAAAAAAAAATACTAGTAATGGTTCAAATCCGGGTGCGCTCTCCAAATACAACAACAAAAAATATTAGAAAACCGGAGACAAAAGGACTAAATTGCATATGGTCATGGAGTATCCTAATTGAACGAATTAAGGTCCTCCAAATTTACTTTTTTTTATCTTCCCTAAAGAAATTTTTACCCATCAGGTAAAAAAATTTTTTTTCCCCAAGATTGCCTGTTTTAATTCTTTTCTGCCTGAAATATTTCCTTGATTTCTTCTTATCTGAGTACCTCTAGGACTAATTGTACTCCTCAGTGAAGTATTCCCTTTCTCATCTTCCTTAGCTCTTAACCTCCCCGAGAATCCTGTTTCCCACCTTTCAGTGGCCCCACATTTTACTATTGATGAAATCCTAGAGTGATGTGTCCTGTAGGCTCTCCAGGTGCCCTGGAAATGCTGTAATTTGTCAAAGTGGGCTCTGGATTTTGGAATCCAAGGCTCTATGTCCTAGCCCCATTCTTTGACTGACTAGCTGTGAGACTTCTACAATTTATATATCTGGGTCTCAGTTTTTTCCACTGTAAAACAAAAGATTAAATGATCACTGAGCCATTTTTAAATTCTGTTCTGGGAGTGATACTATTTAATGACCTTATTATCTCCGAGTGATGGTGGGTAGGGTTATGTAAATGTTTTACTCACTTTTGGAAAATTCTGTACTCCCTTACTCAGATCTGGATTAACTTTTGAATTCCACATTACCCATTTTATGGATGAAGCTACTGAGATATGGAACAATGGATTGAACAGTCACCGCCCCAACCCTGGAATCTCACACAGGACTCTTTCACTCAAATGACCACAGGTTGGTTAAGGGGTTTAATATGACTGGGAAGGTGAGCCAGGTTTAGACTTTGGAAATTGAACCACAGGATTTATCTTCCATTCAGAGGAACAATTTTTTTTCCTCTTACATTATGTTGGCATGTTATATACATAAAACTTTTAAAAATGATTTTATATTATTTGTATAAGTATCACAGACAGCTTTGCCAATAAGTTATTATTGTACCCATTTTACTGATGAGCCATCTTTGGATTAAAAGAGTGAAATAATTTGTTGAAAGTTATACAGCTTATTGGGACCTGAGTTAGATTTCTTTTTTTTTTTTTTTTTAATTAGCTGCCATGACATTACAATGATCTTGGCAATTCATACATTTGAATCAATTGGGGTATAAATTCTCATTTTTCTGATTGTACAGATTGCAGAATCACACTGGTCATAGAGTCACCTATATATATACAGCATGAGTTAGATTTTTTGACTACTACTTATAGGTTGTCCTTTTCTTGACTTCTGATGTCTGTGGCATAGACTTTATTTTATTTTGCTTTTTATTTTGGTATTGGGGATTAAACCCAGGGTGCTTAACCACTGAGCCACATTTCCTTTTTATTTTTATTTTGAAACTGGATCTTGCTAAGTTGTTTAGGACCTCATTCAATTGCTGCAGCTGGCCTCAAACTTGAAATACTCCTGCCTCAGTTTCCTGAGTTGTTGGAATTATTGGTGTGTGCCACTGTGCCCAGCTGTGTCACAGTTTTGAAACTTGGATAACTTTAAATTCAAAAAGCCTCCCAAATCAGTCTTTGTTTTTATGTCCTAGAACATCCATTCCAATTACCTTAGGCTCCTGACTCTTGTTTTAAGATAATTTCTTCTCTTCTTGATCTCTAGTGCTTACATTTATGAGTTTGTGAAGGAGTGAGAGTGATTACTCAATGAGACTCCCAAATTCCCTGGTGGTAGGGACCATATTTCTTTTTTTTAACCTACTTGTCCCAGCAAAGTATACTATAGCTATTTAAAATTGCTCTATAAACATGTAGCATTGTTTTTTAAAAACATGGTTTAATTTTTTTCTCCTCCTTCAGAGCTCTCTTATTTAAATAATATTAAATTGAGAGGGCCTTTTCTCTATTATATTATAGGCTACTATAGCCTAGAATCTTATCTTACCCACTTTGCAGATAGTAAGCTAGGAGGTCACTCTTTTTTTTTTTAAAAAAAAATATTTTTTAGATGCATGGATCTTTATTTTATTCATTTATTTATATGTGGTGCTGAGAATCGAACCCAGTGCCTTACACATGCTAGGCAAGTGCTCTACCACTGAGCCACAGCCTCAGCCCCTAGGAGGTCACTCTTTGGTTGCCTGAGAAACATAAGAAGTTTATTGGTATAGTTTGCAGAAGTAACCCAAAGATACAGCAACATCCTTGGCCTGAGTTCTTCCTATTAGACAAAGCAGTGCCCTTGGATACTCTGTGGTATCTCTGCCTGAAATAGAGCAAGTGGAAGAGATGGCAGAGGAAAGTTTAAAAAGGGGAAAAATGAAAACAGAATGCAAATACAAAGTATAGAAAGTGAGGATGGGTAAAAAGCGAAGAGTGAAATGCAGTATTGGTGGGAAAGAGGTGAACAAAACAATCTAGAGGTTCATCACCCCTGCTTCCCTCCTGTGTGCCAGTGCACAGCTGGTGGTTTGAGAAGCATAGACTGCTGTCTTCAAAGAAAAGCAGTGGAAATGATGACTCCTCTTGAGTTGATTTCAGGTACCACACACTTCCATTTTTTTTTTTTAAACCTCTATGTTCGTTACCATGTAGAGTAAATTCTTTGCTTCTGCTATCAGCTGGGGATGGGATTGGGTGCCAGTAACTTTAATATTAGCCTGAGTTCAGTTGATTTATTAGGGAAAATATGTTAAAAATTACTGAAGGTTTTCTTGGTCAAGTTTGTATACATTCATTCAACAAATCATTATTGATTGTTCAATATGTCTTAGACACTAAGGATATACAAATGCATGAGATCCTGACCTTGGTCTTAAGATGTTTATTATCTAGATGGAGAGACAGGTAACACAGACAGTGTGTTAAGTATTAATATATGAGTTAGCAGAGAATGCAGTGGGAGAAGAGAGAAGAGGCCTTAATTTAGCTTTGGAAGCAATTGGAGAAGGCGGTCTAGATAAAAGTTGACATCCAGAGTCCCAAATGTGAGGGGGAGGGTAGGAAAGGGTATTACAGGCAGAGAGAACAAAAGTTCAAAATCAGAGAGAGCATAGTCCATTTAGAAATTGTAGCCATTTATGAAGGATGTTTGCATTATGCAATTTTTAGTGATTATTGTTCTCCTGCTTCAGAAGTGTGGATTATTCTAACTTTACTGTACTTGCTATAGCAGAGAAAGTTACAGACTTTATTTTGGAGTATTACTTCTGTTTTAAAATGAAGACACCAGAAATTGCACTTTTATCTAGGAATGCTAAGGAGAAAATGTAAATGAAGCCCAACCTTTGAATTAGCAAATGACTGGTGATCAAGTGTCCAGTAAAAGAAAGAAGGTACAGTGGCACATCTGTAATCCCAGTGGCTCCAGAAGACTGAGAGGAGGAGTTCAAAGCCAGCCTTAGCAGATTAGTGAGGCATTTAGCAATTCATTGAGACCCTGTTTCTAAATAAAAATATAGGGCTGGGGTTGTGGCTCAGTGGTAGAGCGCTCACCTGGCACGTATGAGACCCTGGGTTCGATCCTCAGCACCACATAAAAAAATAAGTAAAATAAAGGTGTTGTGTCCAATTAAAACTAAAAAATAAAATTAAAAAAAAATAAAAAAAGGGCTGGGACATCAGCTCACCTGGGTTCAATCCCTGATACCAAAAAAAAAAAAAAAAAAGAAAGAAAGAAGGTGCAGCAGAGTGAGATACTGCAAGCCAGTAGTCCTAGCCAATTGTGTGGTTGAGGCAGGAAGATTGCTTGAGCCCAGAAGTTCAAGGCCAATTTGGGCAGCTTAGCAATACCCCATCTCAAAAAAAGAAAAAGAAAGATGCAGTGTACAGTGTATCTTTGTCATTCAATTTTAGGGTCTGTGCTCTGTTTTGATTTTAAGGCTTTAAGGCTCTGTGTGTGTGTGTGTGTGTGTGTAAATTTATGGTCTTATTCAGTTGGTTAGGATATTTGAGTTAGGGAGGAGGGAAAGGGGGTCTAGAATAATTGTGCCTTTTTATGGCAGAACAAAAGAAATACCTTTCATGCTGGGAGGTGGCACACGCCTCTAATCCCAGAGGCTCTGGAGGCTGAGACAGGAGAATCACAAGTTCAAAGCCAGCCTCAGCAATTTAGTGAGGCGCTTAGCAACTCAGCGGGACTCTGTCTCTAAATAAAAAAATGGCTGGGTATGTGGCTCAGTGGTTAAGCATCCCTGGGTTCAATCCCTGGTCCAAAAAAAAAAAAAAAAGAAAAAATATGTTTAAAAAGCTCTGATCCCAACAACTAAGTACAACAAGGCATAGTCAGGAACTTTGTTTTAGAAAGACAAGTTACTTCAACTAGACAAAATGTTTGTTCAACATCATTCACTTTGTAAAGTCTGTTTTGTTCAGATTAAGAGCATTGATTTTTGTTTTTATTTTTTTTCCCACATGGTCCTAGCTCCATTAAACAGAAACCTTATGTGTATTCCTTGAACAATGCTGGGATTTTTACTGGATTAAACAATAACAACAAAAAGGTATATGTGAAATAGGGAAGAATAAATTTAGAAATCAGCTTGTAGATTCAGTGGTCATTTCTCAGTCAACTTTCTTACCTTTCTTATCAGAAGCAGTTGCTGCTCCTTCCTTGCACTATGGCTTCACTTAATTTCTATGGCATTCTCTCAGCTCTCTGACTACCTCCTTGTCCCCTCTTCCTTAACATTTTTTTTTCTTCCTAATGCTTTCTCATCTCTTCAGCCTCCAGTGACAGAGTACTCAAAGTAGTCTGTGTATCCCTGTTCTGCCTACAGTTATTTTTTAGTGCTTTATTTTTTTTCAAAACTTTAAATACCATATATCCAGGTGTGGTGGCGTACACCTATAATCCCGGTGGTTCAGAAGGCTGAGGCAGGAGGATTATGAATTCAGAGCAACTCAGTGAGACCTTGTCTGTAAATAAAATACAAAAAAGAGCTGGGAATATGGCTCAGTAGTTAAGCACCTCTGGGTTCAATTCCTGGAAGCAAAAAAAAAGGTCTGGGGATGGTTCTCAGAAGTAGCAGGCCCTTGGTTCAATCCCCAGTATCTGGGGGAAAAATTTATACACAAAACATTTTTATATTTAATATATAAAATACTTATGCGTATCGGACATATAATACACACTTTGTATATTATATAATATATATATGTTAACCTGATAATTCTTTTTTATTTTTTTGTGGAGCTGGGGGATGTATCACTGAGCTACTCACTCAGCCCAGGACATCTTTGTGTATGTTGTGCTGAGAATCGAACCCGGGCCGCACGAATGCCAGGCGAGTGCGCTACCACTTGAGCCACATCCCCAGCTCGAGCTTTTGCTCTTAACTGTTATGCTATCTGTCTTTAGTAGGTTGAGGGGAAGAGGTTGAACAAGAACTGCATCTTGTTGAACTTGAACTGAGTGTAAAGGGTTCTGACATTCTTAACGTTTATTTCTGACCATAAGCATCTTATAATTATAGCATGTGCCTTAATCCTCTGAACTGGTTCTTCCCTCAATCCAAAGAAATATATGAGCAATAGGTTAGTTGTAGTCTTCTCTTGTAGGATTGGGTATTTCCTGGGCCAGGAAATGAAGCTAAATAAATATGTGTGTCTCAGTGTTCTTTGGAACAGAAGTGGGAGTTTCTCTGATCTTTTGTGGTTATGCTTGTTTCTCCTCTTCTTCTTTTTTAAAGTTTTTTAGATGTTGGTAGACCTTTATTTTATTCATTTATTTTTATGTGGTACTGAGAATCGAACCCAGGGCCCCTCACACATACTAAGTAAGTGCTC